AAAAATGGCTAGGAAATAATGTACTTGGAAATTATCATGATTACTTTTTTTCTGTTTTTTTTTTTTTTTTTTTTTGAGAGGTTTTTGCTATAGGGCGCGTCCACTCACCAGACAGACAGAGAGAGACAGAGAGATAGAAAGCAAGAAATGAACCCCCAGGAGGGGATGGACACGCTGCAATCCCTTCTCCTCCATTCTCCTCTCGGGATCTTGGGCACACACGCACATGCGCCCGGAGTGAGTTTTAAGCCACCTGGTCTGGGACGCGAACTGCGATCGACTACATGGGAGTCTAGCGACATAGCCATTATGCTAACTGCTGGTCCCCATGATTACTTTAAATCTACCATTGTTAAAATAAAAATAAGTTTTAGGAAATTATGTATTCATAATAGAAACATTTAGAAATTTAGTCTCTTTAAATTCAGCATACATTTTTCTGTAGAGTCATAGAAACATATAAATATAAATCACTATTAGCTTAGAACAGAGTTAATCCAAATAAGTTTCAGTTATTACCTGATGCATTATTACCAATGAACAGACTATATTTTTGTAGGATTCTAAAAGCTTCAAAAACATTAGTAGACATTTTCCTTCATAATAAGGAAAGACAAAAGAACAAATTTGAAGGCTTTTACTTGAATAAAAATGTTGAGTTTGAAAACTTGATAAATTTGGTCTGCCATCTCTTTATTTTCAGAATTTAACAGTGTCCTATGTAATCGTATATAGTACTATAAAATACAATATAAGCAAATATACATGTGTATTTCCCTTTACATTTTATTAGAAAAAGATTTTGGTCTTAAAAATATTTTTTTTTCTTCTCATAATGAAAACATCTTTTTCAGAATATAGATATGCCTTCAAGACATCAGGTTCTCTTTAAAAATATCCTTTATCTATCAATTGTATTTCTTTCTCATACATCACTTTAATATTTACCTTTATGACTGTGCTTACCACTCATTGAAATGTGCTTTCCTGGACCATGGACAATGCTGATCCCCTCAATACCCTGTGGAATTCAGGTCTCCACTATCAGATCTTGGCGGGAGCAAGAATATTTTTAAAATGAACACTTCTTGGGTCACCTAGTGGCATGATCATAAGGTGGCTGCATCTTACATGGCGGACTGTATATTTCAATTCCCAGAATTTTTGACTTGAAAACACATGAGGCACTTGTGCCTATGTGCCCAAAATCCCAAGAGAAGAATGGACAATAAGAAAGAGAGAGAGAGAAAGATTGGAAAATAACAAAGCAAGGTGCCAGGTCCGGAACTTGAACTGTGGTCTGCCATGTGGGAGTCCAGTGCCCTTAACCACTATACCACTGCCAGCCCCCATTTTTAATATCTAAAATTGATTATCTCTACATCTAGTCTTATATACTTTTCTGTTATTCTTTTAAATAATGGAATTAAATGTTATATTTTATTTTTTATTTTATGTCACAAAAAATCTATTTTTTCAATACTCAAAGATAATTTGGCTATTATTGCAAAATACTTACTTAATTCTAAATATCCTTTGAGCTATTCAATAGTAATTAAAAAGGGACAATGCACACATATACTTTTCTATGTCATTTTAAATTTTCAGGATGAAAATGTATTATTTCTTGTGATCTGCCGGTTATAATCTCAATGCAATAAATGCAAACTACCAATACAAAATAATAAATAAAAGACAAATGATGTGTGTGCCAGTCAGTGGTTTGGTGGTTTAGGTTGCTGGATTCCACAGGGCTGAATATGAGGCTCAAGTCCTGGACCTGGTAGCCTGAAAGCATGCTGCCTATATGTGTATGTGCGCCTAAAATTTTAATCGTAGAATGGATGTGAAGGGATTGCTGCATGGCCATCCCTCTGGGCACTGCTTACTCTGTCTCTCTCAATTTGTCCTGCTTTCACATAGCTAATTTAAAAAATAAATAAATAAATAAATAAATAAGATACATAAAGTGTAGTCATACTCCTACAAGAAAGCCAGTATTTCCTTTTTTTATAAGTGGCTTTTTCCTTAGGGCATGTTTGTGCATGAGAAAAAGATAGACACAGTGAGAAGGAAAGTGAGAAATCACTCCCCAGGGGAAATGGCCAGGCAATACTCCATTCTCCTCCATTTTTCTCTCCGTATCTTGGACATGCACACACACATGCCCAGCATAATTTTCAAGCAACTGTGTCTGGGACTTGAACCACAATCAGCCATGCAGGAGTCCAGTGACGTAACCGCTGTGCCATCTGCTGATTATAGAAAGCAAATATTTCCTTTTAATCTACATTGCTCCAGACATTGTTAGCATACATACTACCCACTACCAATATTCACATGTAAAATGTTATATGAAGTTAAAGAGTCATATCCTTCATGGTTTTATATACATAGTGTTATGTTTCATAAATACATTTATACTCTTTCCTGCATGTTAGGAAACAAGAAATTTCTTTTTTTTTTATATACATTCAATTACATTGCTTAGCTTACAAAGTGAATATTTCAATATGTGAACATTTCTCCCTCGTCCAGTTGATCAAAATATCTTCACAAATAACACACCTCCCCATCCCATCAATACTCTGCCTCTGTATCCCTCCTCCAAATGTCCTTCCCTAGGCCCCACTCCTCCACACACACCACATCTGGCATTCACACCCATCTCTTGTGTTTGTATATCTTTTAGTCAATCAGTTTCAGTCATAGAGTGCAGACCCTCGGTATATATTAAGTGGGGACATACACTATCTCTCCTTCATAGCCTGGCTTGTTTCACTTAGCAGTAAATCTTCCATATTCTTCCACTTTGTGGCAAAAGTCAGGATTTTGTTGGTTTTTATGGCTGAATAGTATTCCATATGTATATATGCCACAGTTTTTCCATCCATTCATCCGTACGGGGGCATCTGGATTGGTTCCATGTCTTAGCAATTGTGAAAAGTGCCACAATAAACATCGATGTGCAAGCACTTTTCAATGAAGAATTCTTCTGTCCTTTGGGTAGATACCGAGGAGTGGGATTTTTGGATCATACGGTAGTTCTATTTGTAGACTTTTGAGGAATCTCCAAATTCTTCTCCACAATGGCTGGACCAATTTACATTCCCACCAGCAGTGTAAAAGAATTCCTCTTTCACCACACCCCCGCCAACACTTATCATTTTTTGTTTTTTTTAATCTTAGAGATTCTGACTGGGGTTAGGTTGTACCTCATTTTTGTTTTGATTTGCATTTCCCTTACGATGAGTGATGTCGAGCATTTTTTCATACGCCTTTTAGCTATTAGTATGTCATCTTTAGAGAGTGTTTTTTATTTTTTTTTCCAACTCTTTCTCCCACCTTTTAATAGGGTTGATCATCTTTTTTCCAAACAGCTTCTTTAGTTCCTTGTGTATTGTGGTTATCAGCCCTTAATCTGATGCATAATTTACAAAAATAAATTTCTTCAGTAGAGTTGCTCTTACACATTGTTTTAAGTGGCTATAAGATAGTATATGGAATAAATTTGCCCCTGTGTCTTAACATATCCTGAGAGTGCCTATTCATGGGTAGTCATTCTGCTTTGCATTGCTAAAGCAATACAAAAGAACACCAAAAATGTTATAAATAGATTTTAACAAACACACGCTGATAATATTGTGCAAAGATCATTTCTTAAAAGTAGATTCCATTAATTCAGTTTGTAAAGCTAAGGAGAAGGTTTTTAAAATTTCTCCTTTCAAATAAAATGCCAAATTGCTGCCCAAAATAGATGCACCAATTGAAGGAGACTGGGAATGGTGTAACAGCTGAGGTCTGACAGGATGCAAAATTAATCTAGGGCTGACCCCTCCCAAAAAAAAAGGCAAACAAAAAAAATCCTAATGAAAGGAGTATTTTCATGGTGTGCTGTTTTCATAAATTTAAATTATCTTAAATTATCACAAACTAGATGACTTAAACCAACAGAAGATCAGTATCTCACAGTTCTCAAGTCCAGTGTCCACAATCATTGTGTTGGCAATGCCTCACTCCATCTGAAGGTTTTAAGGAAAAATTATTCCTGCCTCTTCCAAATTTTTGTGGATGTTGGACATCCCAGCTCTGTGGTGGAAATCACCGCAAATTGTCCACTTCACAAGATATTCTTCTCTGTTTCTCTGGGTCTGTTTTCTACATTTCTTCATCTCCCTGTTTCTTACAAAGATACTTATCATGGAAGTAGTGCCACTCAAAATCACAGTGATCTCATTGCAAAACCTTATGCTAATTATATCTGCAAAAACCCTTTTTATCCAAAGATCAACACATTTGAAGACATCAGATAGAGATATCTTTTGAGGAATCAGCATTCAACCCATTATGGATGAGAAAGAATAATTAGTTAATAATGGGAATTTTAGAAGCTTCCAGTACTAAATCGATATTACCAAGGTACAGTCAGAGGGAATCACATTTCCCGGTTAACTTCAAGATCTGCACAATAGAGTAGTGAAATATTTAGGGTTTGTAGTCTTCAAAGGACAGGGGCAATGATAAGAGAGAGGTAGGAGGAAATGCAAAGAAGCTATGATTTCCCTTCATTGACTTCCTACTTCTGGGGTGTCTCACTAGGTTAATCCAACCACAGGCTCAGAGAACACCAGAAAATGCATCTGAAGAAAAGGGAGGGTTAAAAAAAATTATCACAGAACTTGACCCTCATCATTGCAATACAATACATGTAGATAACTTGTGTTCTGTTGCTCAGTCAGTCTCAATCCAATATGTACTCTTGAAGGAGAGACAGATCTTCAAATTGAGATCCTTGCACTGGAGTTGATCTGTATTCTGATTACACTGGGGCCCTTAAATAATCTCTGGATAGCAAGCTCTCATTACACAATGTGAGAGCTTCACTGTAATTTTATCATCATAGCTTAGAAATATAAAAAAATCAAAGCTAATGATATGTTTCTATTGTAGTCACATGACAAAGCTATAAGTAGACTATTTCTATAAATCAAGGCTTTACATTATGCTGATACCTTAGCTAGAAGTTTTCTCAGTGCCATCAGAATATCTTTGTTCCTCAGAGTATATATAATGGGATTCAAAGTTGGAGTCAAAATAGCATAGAAAAGAGAGAAAAGTTTCCCCATTCCCTCAGACTGATCTGATTTAGGTTGTAAATAAGTGATAGTAGCTGTCCCATAGAATAACACTACAACGGTTAGGTGAGAAGAGCAGGTGGAGAAGGCTTTAGACCTCCCTCTGGCTGAAGACAATTTCAAAATGTTGGAGATAATTTTGCCATAGGAGACAACGATCAACAGAAATGGAACCATGATAAACACCACTGCGACTACATAGACTACTATCTCATTCACAAATGTGTCCCCACAGGCAAGTTTGAGTATAGGTGGGATGTCACAGAAGAAGTGATTGATCGTGTGAGATGCACAAAAAGGCAAAGAGAAAATCTGGTATGTATGCCCGATTGCAAGTGGAACTGCAGTGATCCAGGAGGCAGCCACCAGCTGGCTGCAGACCTTGTGATTCATCACTAGAGCATAATGGAGAGGGTTACAAATGGCCACATAGCAGTCATAGGCCATCACTGCAAGCAGGAGGCACTCTGTGGCCCCAAGCATAAGGAAAAAATACATCTGTGTAGCACAGGTAAGGAACAAAATATGTCCTTTCTGAGTCCAAAGGTCCATGAGCATTCTTGGGAAAGTTACTGTTACATAACAAATTTCCAAGAAGGAAAAGTTGCCCAGGAAATAATACATGGGTGTGTGGAGGGCAGGGTCAATTTGTGTTATTAGTATTATGAGACTGTTGCATACCAAGATAGTCAAATATATCAGTAAAAATACACCAAACAGAATCCATTGGAGATTGGGAGTATCAGAAAACCCCAAGAGAACAAACTCCATCAATGTAGTGATACTTGAATTTTCTGCTTTAATTTGCTCTTTATCTGCAGATATGGTAAATTAAAAGTGATTAATTAATTCACATGTTGACGTAACTTTTCGCCTTATGTTAATTGGGAGAGAAGCATGTCGATATATAATTTCTCAAATTATTTCTACCATTACTAGGAAATAAGATTACTATTATTATGTAATGGGATTAGAAACGTCAGAAAGTAACTGCTGATAATATTGGAATCAATTCAAGACGCATAATTCTAATGTATTTCTATGTAACAATACCAGAGGGACTGAGAAGTGTGCATTATTTAGAGGATTTTGAAAAAGAGATAATCTTTATATTTCACTGTTAAGAGTGGATTTAGAAAAAAAAAAAAAAGAGTGGATTTAGGGAACCAGCAGTTAGAGTAATGGCTATGTCGCTGTACTCACATAGTTGACTGCGGTTCAAGTCCCGGACCAGGCGGCTTTAACTCATGCCAGGTACGTGTGCATGTGTGCCCAAGATCCCAAGAGGAGAATGGAGGAGAAGGGATTGCAACGTGGACATCTTCCCTGGGGGGGAGTGGGGTGATTTCTCACTTTCTATCTCTCTGTCTTTCTGGCGAGCGCACGTGCCCTAAAAAAAAAAACAAAAAAGGGGATTTAGGGTATAGGCTCTTTCTACTGCTTTGTCTTGGTTTACTTTCTGTATATAAATAGTCATATTTCATATTCTTTCAATTCAAAGAAAATATTTCCCTTGAAGTTTCAATTTACTTTTTATTGAAAAAGTATTTTATTGCTAAGGTTTTTTTTTTTTTTTGAGAGGTTTTCGCTATAGGGCGCGTGCGCTCGCCAGACAGACAGAGAGAGCCAGAGAGATAGAAAGTGAGAAATCACCCCCCAGGGGGGATGGCCACGCCGCAATCCCTTCTCCTCCATTCTCCTCTTGGGATCCTGGGCACGCACGCACACGCGCCCAGTGTGAGCTTAAGCCGCCGGGTCCGAGACACGAACCGCGGTCGACTATGTGGGAGGCCAGCGACATAGCCATTACGCTAACTGCTGGTCCCTAAGTTATCTCTTTTATACTGCAATGAGAATCACTTTTCTTAAACTATGGAAATAAATGTATGCATTATTGCTATAATTGATTTACTTCTCCCCTTATTTATACTAAATATAAAAACAACAATCCCAGCATCCTGTTCATCAACTTTACTCATTAACATTTCCTATATGGTTTGTGATAAATAATAATTATTATTTAACTTAAAAAAGAAATATCCTTACATTGAGATGTTTGTTCTATATTTCTGCTTATCCACAAGAGTTTTTTTTTTTTTTTTGAGAGTTTTTTTGCGATAGGGCACGTGCACTTGCCAGACAGAGAGAGAGAGACAGACAGAAAGTGAGAAATCACCCCCCAGGGGGGATGGCCACGCCGCAATCCCTTCTCCTCCCTTCTCCTTTCAGGATCTTGGGCACGCACGCACACGCGTCCAGTGTGAATTTTAAGCCACCGGGTCCAGGACTCAAACCACGGTCCACTACATGGGAGTCCAGTGACATGGCCATTACGCTAACTGCTGGTCCCCCCACATGAGATTCTTTAAAGACATATAATTCCCTTGTAATCAAATGCAACTCCCTTTCTCTATTTTCTCTTCATAATGCTGCTTTATAGAATTACCTTTTTGAGTAAATCTATTATTTATTTTGGCCATACAAGTAGTCAAAGCATAGGAATGGCACTGAAAAACAAAATAAAGCAAAATCATTAAAGACAGTCTGTCTCTGTGAACAGCAAGTGCCATAGCGGTTGGAACACTGGATTTCAATATACCACCTGCAGTTTGAGTCCTGGACCCAGCAGCTTGAAACTCACACTGGGTACGTGTACGTGTCTGTAGAAAAACCCCAAAGGAGAATGGATGAGAGGGGAATGCAACAAGGTCATTTCTCCTGGGAGGTGATTTCTCACTTCCTTTCTCTCCTTCTGTCTCCAGCAAATGTATGTGCCCTATAGTGAAAATATCTGTAAAAAATTAATAAAATAAAAACCTGTATAGCTGCTACATTTCATCTGGTATAAAGTGGGCAAGTCAGTGAAACTTGATGATGACCATTACAATTTCAACTGGATGATGCCCATTACAATTTCTTTCTTTTCTTTTCTTCTCTCTTTTTTTTTTTTTTTTTTTTTTTCAGAGGTGTTTGCTATAGGGTGCATGCGCTTGCCAGAACGACAGAGAGAGACAGAGAGACAGAAAGCCAGAAATCACCCCCCAGGGGGGATGGCCTCACTGCAATCTCTTCTCCTCCATTCTCCTCTCAGGATCTTGGGCATCCATGACTCTAACTGTGGTCAACTACATAGGAGTCAAGCGACATAGCCATTACACCAACTGCTGGCCCCAATGCCCATTACAATTTCTTTGTTTTCCAACTTTTAAAAACAAATATTTGTGTGTTTGTCTATCTCCTCAGATCTACTTCACTGCACACCTTCTAGGCACATCAGCTGATGTTTTTGAATTATTACATTGGTCAATGAAAATGATCAGACAAATATTCTCTCATATAAGCATACTTTTATAGTAATAGTTATCAAAGGTTACTTTAAATGAATTATTATTATTATTTATGTGATTGTTATTTAACACAGATCTACGTTTATTTAATTTTAAACTAAAGTTAAGCGCTATATGGCATATATAATTAATTAACTCACTTTCAGATAAAGTTCTCAGGATTTCATGCTCTTGTTATTTGAATCTTGATTCTCAAATTTAGAAATAACTTCAACATAGTCTAACAGCATAATTTTAACTTACCTTCATGGATTTTCATGTTCTGTGTAAAGAGGGTAGGTAATTTTTGCACTATAAACCTTTCTGTAACTTCTTTTTTTCAGGAAGTCACTCTTTCTATGGTATTTTTGCTTGGTTCAAATACCAACTGCCCTTAAATAGGAACAGTAACTCTCATCCTGGGGAATGTCTCTTGTGTATCAATTTATTTTCTAGAAGATTGCTTCTGGGCAATCATTCTGGTCACTTTGCAAATCTACATTTGTTTGGATAGACTCATCCACCTCTGCAGTCTGTCATCCTCACCAAGCTCCCCAAGGTGAACAGGGTGTCTTGGCAGGGAAGTACCACTTAATTGTGGAGAACTAAGTTCAGAAAAAGTTAAAATCTTTCTGGATACTAATTTAAGGTCTTTTATAATTGATACAGATTTGCCTTTCTTATTTTTACTCCCATAATTCAACCAGATCCAGAAGTCCAAACCTTAAGAAAAACGTGTCATTTGACAAATGTGCTATGCTTGCTGTGTTGAGCATACTTGGTTGTGAGATCCTTATTCAGAAAGGTATTGTTCTTAAGGGAGTGCTATGTCAGTAAAATTAAATGCAGACACACAGAAATAAGAGTTCAGAAACTAAAAAAATGGGCAACTTAATTGTAGGGACAAAGTCTGGAGTTGAGTATTATATCTCAGAGTTCAATCTGGAAGATCGAACCTCAACAGAAACAGAAGAAAATTAAGTACATGAGACTGAACTGATGAAACAGCATTCTATGACTTGACTAAAATATTGCTGCTTTTCTTCTAAGCTTTGTTGTCCGGTTTTAAGGATTTTTGTCCTGTCTTGAGCTGTCAATGGATTCATGTACCTACTATTTGAACAGAATACTAACTAGTTTCTAGGCCTTAAGTTTCAAGGAAATATCCTTACCAGTTCAAAACTGCTTTTTTTGAAACCATCAGCGAAGTTGCTATTGTAAGTAGTTAGATTACTTATGATATTGTGTGATCAACGAAATGGTGGGGGAAAAGGAATTGAAGATAACTGTAGACAGCAGAGAGAGTGTAATAAGAGAGTGAAATGGGGCAGAGGGTCAGACATAGGGTAAAAAACATATATATATGAAAGTAGTAATGGAATTTTATGGATGATAACATGCACGATTAAGAGGTACCATTTTATAGTATGTTCATTCTACTCACTGAGGTTTATGCCTAAAGTCAGACATCGGTTCTTGTGTATGTAAATATCAGCTGTGCTTGCTATTGCAAATATTTAGACAAATTAAGTTCATTAGCAAATCAATTAAATGGGGGGGATAGGCACAGAAAGCAAACAGGGATAACAGAGACAATGGAAGGAGGGTTGGACAGTGCAGAGGGTTAGGGATAGGGAATCAAGGATGGCAAAAAAAGAGAAAAAACTCAAAATATACAAGACATAAGACATGGAAAATTGTTTGTTGATAACACATATGTTGATGTACTTGATTGAGCCAACAGACAATGTATTTTGGATGAAAAATTCATTTTGTATACTGTAATGATGTATAACATATTAATGTTAAAAAATAAAAACAAATTAAAAAAAGAAAAAAAAAAAAGAAAGGTATTGTTCTGTTCCTAAGTAAATTTTCATGGAAACTAAAGCATGTCATTTCTGCTGACAAACACCTAATTTTTTTTATATTATGCTAACTATGCATCAGAGACGATATCTAACTCATTGAAAATGAAAGAGGACACCTTAAATATAAACATTTTAAAAACAGTATTTACTACAACCACTCTTCATTTAAAGACTTACTTGTTTAGAGCCACTCAGACTTAAGACCAGTTCTAATGGGCAGGGATTCCCCTTCCTTGGTCTGATTTTGTTTCTGGAATCTTCTTACTTAGTCTTCGTACTGTTCCCGCAGTCAGTTAGTACTTCTTACATGATGTGTTCTTATTCACACAAAACTACATATTTTGTTTATAAATTTGTACTTTTTCGTGCACCCATAGTAGTATTCAAAATAAATAAAAATGATTACAACAAATTTAAATTATTGTGTTGTGCTGTCTCTTGTCACTCTCTGGAACTTATTTCATAGATCCTTTTATTTATTTATTTTTATAGAGAGATTTTTGCTATAGGGCATGTGTGCTAGTTGGATAGACAGAGAGAGACAAAATCTGAACTCCCCAGGAGGGCTGTCCATGCCATAATCACTTCTCCTTCATTTTCCTCATGGGATTTTGGGCACACACACACATGCACCCAGTGTGCTGCAAGTCACAGGATTCAGATCTCGAACTACAGCCAGTCACGTGAGAGTCCAGTGCCTTATCCATTATGCTCCTGCTGGCCCCCTAAAGTATGCTTTTCGTATAACATCTATAATATCATCCAAAGTTACAGAGTGTTTTCCTTCATGGTCTCATGAACACACAGTTATGATTGATTAATACATTGATAGTCTTTGTTACAGGTTAAGGAAATAAAAATTTCTTTAGTAGAGTTGTTTTGAAACAATGTCTTAAATGGTTGTGAGACAGCATGAGGTATGTATGTGCTCCAGTGTCTTAATAGATTCTGAGACTGCCTTCTCTTGGCTAGTCAGTTTGTTTCGTGTCTCATAAGCAATACAAAAGGAAACAACAAATGCTATAAACATACTTTAAAAACACATGTTTATAATACTATGCAAATATTATTTCTTCAAAATGAGATTTCATTGATCAAGTTTGTAAAGGAGAAGAATAACTATTTTTATTTTCCTTACAAAAGAAAAAATGCCAAATTACAACCCAAAACAGTTACAACAAATGAAGGGGAAGAGGAATGGTATAACAACGGGGTTCTGACAGGGTACAGAACTCATCTAGAGAAAAAAAAACTACTAATGAGAAGGATATTTACATGGTGTACTGTTTGAATAGATCTATTAATGCCTTAAATTTCCACAAATTGGATAGTTTAAACAACAGAAAATGAGTATCTCACAGTTTTCAAGTCCGGTGTCAAGTCATGGTGTTGGTTGCACCTCACTCCATCAGAAGGCTTTCAGAAAAAAAGTTATTTCTTCTCACTTTCAGGTTTGTGGCTCTTGGACTTCCTTGCTTTGTGGAAAAAACATGGCAATCTATTGCTTCCCCTACACATGATGTTCTTCTCTGTTTTTCCAGGTCTGTTTTCAAAATCTCTTCATTTTTCTCTCTCTTTCAAAGACATTTATCATTGGATTTTAAGCCACCCTAAACCACAATGGTCTCCTTTCAACATCCATGTGTTGATTATATCTGCAAAAACCCTTTTTGTTTAAAAAAGGATACATAAGAAGGGGTGAAATAAATATATTTTAAGGAACCAAAATTTAATCCTCTACTCATGAGAATGAAGAGTTGACAGTGAAAAAACTTTTAGAAGTTTTCAGTACTAAATTGATATTACCTAGCTACAGTCAGAGGGAATCTGGTTACAAGAGAAATTTAAGATCTGCATAATAGAGGATGGGCAGGTGGTGTGGTGGACAAGGCACTAGACTCCCAGAACTCAACCACAGTTCAAGTCCTGGACCTGACAGTTTGGTTTTCCCTTTCTCTCTCTCTCTGTTTCTCTCTCTCTTCACAATTTTAAAAACAATGATAACAAATAAAATAAATATTTTTTTAATATAAAAAGATTTGCATAATAGAGTAGTTTATTCTCTTAATATTTGTAGTCTTCAAAGGACATAGAAAGAAACAAGACATAGAAATGCAGGAAAATGCAAAGAAATGCTGATTCCCCTGCACCCCCTTTACTGTTTCTGGACTGTCTCACTGATTATACCCAACAATAGCATCAGACAACACTAGAAAATGCATCTGAAGAAATTGGAGGGTTAAAGAATATTTATCACATAGCATGTCCCTAACTGCTATTTATACAATGAACACAGCTACCTTGTATTCTTTTGCCTATGTACTGTCAACCCAATAGTCAACCATGAAGACAAGACTGACCTTCAAAATGAGATCCTTGCAATGATGTTTCTTTGTCTTCTGGTTACAAGGAAGCCTTAAAGGAACTCTGTGAAAGGAAGGTCTCTTTACATAATGTGTGATCATAGTTACAATTTTATCATTATTTGCAGTCATAGGAACAAAGCTAACAGTATGTATCAATACTGGCCATATAACAAAGCTATAAACAGACAATTTCTATAAGTCATAGCTTTGTCTCATACTAATAACTGAGCTAATACTTTCCTCAGTGCCATCATGATATCTTTGTTCCTCAGAGTATATATGATGGGATTCAAAGTCGGTATCAAAATGGTGTAGAAAATAGAGATTAGCTTCCCCATTTCTTCATACTGATCTGGTTTGGGTTGCAAGTAAGTAATGATAGCTGTCCCATAAAATAACACTACAACTGTCAGGTGAGAAGAGCAGGTGGAAAAGGCTTTAGACCTCCCTCTTGCTGATGTCAATTTCAAAATGTTGGAGATAATTTTACCATAGGAGACAACAATCAACAGAAATGGAACCATGATGAACACCACCGCAACTGCAACTACATAGAATGCTATGTCATTCACAAATGTGTCCCCACAAGCAAGCTTGAGAACAGGTGGGATGTCACAGAAGAAGTGATTGATCATGTGAGACGTGCAAAAGGGCAAAGAGAATATCAGCCCTGTTTCCCCAATGACAGCTGGAACTGCGGTGATCCAGGAGGCAGCCACCAGCTGGCTGCAGACCTTGTGGTTCATCACCAGAGCATAATGGAGAGGGTTACAAATGGCCACATAGCGGTCATAGGCCATCACTGCAAGCAGGAGACACTCTGTACCTCCAAGCATAAGGAAAAAGCACATCTGCGTAGCACAAGCAAGGAAAGAAATACGTCCCTTCTGAGTCCAAAGATCCACGAGCATTCTCGGTAGAATTACTGTTACATAACAGATTTCCAAAAAGGAAAAATGACCAAGGAAAAAGTACATGGGGGTGTGGAGAACAGGGTCAATTTTTGTTATTAGTATTATGATGCTATTGCACACCAAGATAGTCAAATAGATGAGTAAAAATACACCAAACAGAATCCATTGGAGATTGGGAGTATCAGAAAACCCCAAGAGAACAAATTCCATCAGTGTAGTGATATTTGAATATTCTGTTTTAATTTGCTCTTTACCTGCAGATATGGTAAATTAAAAAAATATTCATTATTTCATGTGTTCAACCATCTTTTCCCTAGATGTTAACTGAAAGAGATGCATTAAAATATTTAAATAATTTCTCAAGTTAATTCTACCATTACGAGGAAATGAATTTATTATTCTCAGGAACTGAGATTAGAAACATTCCAAAGGTACTGGTATTGGGGATGAAATCAACTCAAGAAGTATAATGATAATATAATATAGATTTGAATGTTATGATACCAAAGATAGGAAATCTTTTCCCTTAAAGTTTTCATTTAATTTTTATTCAAAAGAGAGTTTTTCTTTTTTTTTCTTTTTTGAGTTTTATTTGTTTGTATTTTTTTTTCTGCCAAAGGGTACATGGCTTCTCAGAGTCAAATAGAATTTTAAATCATTTCTTTTATTCTCTAATGACAATTGTTTTTATTAAATTGAGGAAATACATGTATCCAACATTACTAAACTGCTGTGTCTCTCCTATTTCTTATACTAAATATTAAAACATTAATTTCAGCATGCTGTTCATCAACTTTACACATTAATCTTCCCTATGTGGTTTGTGATAAATATTAGTTATTTAACTTGAACAAGAAATATTACCCATGCATTGCAATATGTGCTATATAACTCTACGTATCCATGTGAGAGTCTTTATTGTCATATAATTCCCTTATAATCAAATGCAACTTCCTTTCTCTATTTTCCCTTCATATCATTGCCTTATAGAAGTGCAACTTTAATTAAACCTAAAGATTATTTACTCTGGCTATACGAATGGCCAAATACATGAATGGCACTGAAAATGAAAATAAAGCAAGTAAAATTAACCCTCTCTTTCTGCTACACTTCATATTTATGTCATCTGCTATGAAGTCGGCAAGTCAGCAGACTGGATGATGCCCATTACAATGTCTCAGTGTTTATTTTCTAACTTTTCAAAACAAATTCACATATTTGTTTATCTCCTCAAATCTACTGCACTATACACCCTCTAGTTCGGTCAGCTGATGCTTTGAATTAGTACACTGATGAATTATATGATTAGCAAGTATTCTCTCTTATTTACATACTTCCAATAGTAATAGTTACCAAAGTTACTTTAAATGAATTATTTTTATTAGTGTTATTATTTGACATATATCTAATTTTATTTAAATTTATTCTAAAGTTAATAACTATGTGATGTATATTAAGCAATTAACTCATTTTCAGATAGTTTGCAGAATTTAATGCTCTTATTATGTGAATCTTGATCCTCAAAATTAGAAATACCTCCAACATAGTCTAACAGTATAATTTTAACTTACCTTTATGAATGCTCATGTTCTGTGTACAAGTGTAAATGATTTTTATACTATAAACTTTTGGTTACTTTTTTCCTCAAATACTCACTCTGTTTCTACAAATTTTTTACTTGGTTCAGATACCCACTGCTCCTAAATTGGAACAGTAACTCTTACACTGGGAGAGATATTCCTGTATCAGTTTAATTTCTAGAAGACTGCTTCTGCTGAGCGATATTTGTGGTCATTTTTCAAAACTATTTGTGTTGGATAGACTCATCCACCTGCGCAGTCCCTCACCACACAGAGCTCCCACAGTGGAGGGAGTCCCTTGGCATGTAAATACCACTTAATTGTGTAGAACGACTATCAGAAAAAGTTTAAAGTCTTCTGTCTAAGGTTCTTGGAAAATGATACAGATTTACCTATCTTATTTTTATCCTATAAATCAACCAGATCCAGAAACACAAGCCTTTAGAAAAATGTGTCATGTGACACATGACACACTGCTCTCTTCTGCACACTTGGTTGTGAAGTTCTTATTCAGAAGAATAATGCTTTGCCCTTGATAAACTTCAATGGAAATTAAAACATGTCATTTCTGCTGAAAAGCATCTAGGTAATTTTTTTCCGTATCAAATTGCCTAATCACGCATCAGGGAATATATCTAGCTCATTGAAAATGAAATACAGACCACCTCAAAATAAACATTTTAAAAACATTATTTACTACAACCACTCTTCATTTAAAGATCTACCTGTTTAACAGCCACTCAGACTTAAGACCAGTTCTCCAGGGCAGGGAACCCTTTCATAGGTCTCTTTGTGTCTCTGTAATTGTCTTTCTTTTTTTTCTTTTATATTATTATTATTATTATTTTACATTAAATTGCTATACATCATTTCTCTTGTAGAGATAATTTATCCAACATGAAATACACCTCAGAGTAGTCCAGCTGAGAATACCATATACAGCAAATAATATACCATTTCTGTGTCCACAAATGTCTAACTTTTCTATTTTTCTCCCCAATTTCCTTCCATATACTCTTCCTCTCTCCCACCCTCCTTCCACATGGTCCCTGGAATCTGCTTCTTTAGTCTTTGTATTGTTATCACAACCAATTAGTACTTACTGCACAAAGTGCTCACATTCACACAAGACTAAATATTTTGTTTATAAATTTGTACTTTCTGCTAAATATTTTGCTTATAAATTTGTACTGCATCTGGGACCAGCAGTTAGTGTAATGGCTATGTCACTGGACCCCCATGTAGTCGACTGCAGTTCAAGTCCCAGACCCAGCCGCTTAAACTCATGCCGGGCGCATGTGCGTGCGTGCCCAAGATGGGATGGCGATGTGGCCACCCCCCCTGGGGGGTGATTTCTCGCTTTCTGTTTCTCTGTCTCTCTTTCTGGCGAGCTCATGCGCCCTATAGCAAAAACCTCTCCAAAAAAAAGAAAAAAAAATTGTACTTCATCCATAGAAATATCCAGAATACGTAAAAATAATTACAACACATTTAAATTATTGTGTTGACCTGTGTCTTGTCCCTTTCTGAAAGTTATCAAATGTATCCTTTTTTAAAAAAGAATTACTTTATTTAACCTTCATCCATAGAAATATCCAGAATACGTAAAAATAATTACAACACATTTAAATTATTGTGTTGACCTGTGTCTTGTCCCTTTCTGAAAGTTATCAAATGTATCCTTTTTTAAAAAAGAATTACTTTATTTAACTTTATTTATTCATTCATTTATTTTATTTTTTTAATTTGACCAGAGAGGGACAGAGTGAGAGAGAAAGAGAGAGAGGGAAATTGAGAGAGCAAGCCTCCAGGTCCAGGACTTGAACCGTTGTTGGCCATGTGGGAGTCCAGTGTCCTAAACCACCACACAACCTGCCGCCCTCAATCTAATGTATCCTTTTTCTTTTGATTTTTGGACAGAGATTTTCGCTGTAGGCTGCATGTACTCACTGGACAGGCAGAGTGAGAAAGTGAGGAAACATTCCCCCTGGGAGATGGCTACACCGCAGTCAGGTCTCCTCCATTCTTCTCTGGGGATTTTGGGCACACACACACACACACACTGTGAGTTTTAAGCTGCAAGGTACAACACTCAAACTATGGTTGACCTTGTGGGAGTTCAATGCCTTTTAACCACTATGCCATATTCTGGCCCCAAAATGTATGCTTTTATTTTTTTTGGAGAGGTTGTTGCTATAGGGCGCATGCGCTCGCCAGACAGAGACAGAGAGACAGAAAGCAAGAAATCACCCCCCAGGGGGAATGGCCACACCGCAATCCCTTCTCCTCCATTGTACTCTCAGGATCTTGGGCACGCATGCACACGCACCCGGTGTGAGTTTAAGCCACCGGGTCTGGGACTCGAACCACGATCGACTACGTTGGAGTCCAGCAACATAGCCATTATGCTAACTGCTGGTCCCAACAATGTATGCTTTTTGTATGAATATAATTATTGAATTATTCTGGTGTGACATCACATGCCATTTAATGAAATACACACTCTATGGTGCCACAACACATCAAGACATCTACCTTTTAATTTTTCGCTTATTGACCAATTAGCTTACTGACTTATGCATAGGGATGGAATTTGGTCGTTACATGAGGACTGCATGTACAGAGGGAAAAGCAAAAACAAAACAAAAGCAAAAAAACACTTTCTCTTAGTATCTTTTTCCTGTTTCAGCCACTTGCAGCCATGTATGGATATTAGATTGGCAGGCATAAGATCTACGATGACTCTGTGTAACTATACTAGCTTTTCTCTGTAAAGGGTTCTATGAATATCTGTTAGTTTTTCTAAAACCGTATTCACTTTATAAAATTAAATCTGCTTCTATTTGGTGCAATATGCCTGGCCTCACACTGGCCCCCTGTATTCTTTTTGTCACTTATTCCGTATTTGCACATGGAGCTTCTTTCACTTATTTCTACTGATGAGAATGTCATTCATCATCAGTCACAAACGTGCAGTTCCATACAGGCTGGAACAAATTCAATGTCCATTTCCCACTGGGGTAGACTGATCTATTGCTCATCCTATCATTAGAAAGTAGGATTGACTACTACATTATCCAAGTAAATATCACAATCACTGAAAAAAAATCTAAAAATTGAAATAATACCTCAGGCATATAAATGGCTTTGCAAATAAAGAAGTATCTTAAACTCATATCACGGCACAATTTTGTGGCTAGTAAATCAGAACCAGTAGTTCTTCCATCTAAGAGTCTCACTGTTCAAATGGACATCCTTTTTGTCCCCTACTGGACTAACATTTTAAAAACTGATCATTGAAGACAGACAATAAAGAAGAAAACGCACTCCAAAGAACATCAGCACATAGGTGACACTATTTCTACACATGACACTGTGGAAATGGATCACTTGGTCCAAAAAATAGAGGACACCAGGGTTTATTTCTTACTTTGTCTTTCTCTTCGTTTGTTCCTTCTTTCCTCCGTCCCATCCTTCCTCCCTTCCTCACTCCCTTCCTTTCTCCCTTCCTTCCTTCTTTTCTCCCTTCCTTCCTTCCGTCTTTCCTCCCGTTCTTAATTCCTTTCTATTTCTCTCTCTCTCTCTCTCTCTCTTTTTTACTTTCCCTTTTCTTTCTTTCCTTTTTAACCTTATATCAGAGAAACAGAAAGGTGTTTAGAGATCATCAAGCCAGACTGT